CTGCCACCCCTGTTGCTGCTGGGTGGGCACAGGGCACTTCACACATGTCCCCACTCACCACACCGACTGGGCAGCAGTCCCAGCCCTGCCCAACTCCCTCCCTCACTATGGAGGTCTCAATCCTCCCCTGCCCCAAGACTTACCTGCAGTGAGCTGCGAGACCTGCTCTCCAGGCTGCCTGATAGCCACGTGTATGTGTATGTGCATACATGTACATGGCGTCCCCTGCCCGACCAGCCTCCTCCCGCTCCTCGCAGCCCCTTGCAGACTAGAACTCTGCCAACCTGCAAGGGGAAACCTGGATCTCTGGTCATCTGTCCAACTTCCACTTCTTGTAAGCTTCCTTTTTGTGTCTGAGCTTACTAAAGAGTTCTCTGCAAAGCCAAGCTGGTCGCCTGCCATATTTGCTATTCATCCTGAACACTGGGATACTCACGGCACAGGAACAAACTAAGGTTTCTTTAAAATACAACCAGCTCTCCTGACTCCTTTCCCCCTCAGACTGGCCTCCCAGGAGATCCTGCCCATCAGTTCCCTGAGTGAGTCAGAGTCTGCTTTACTGAAGTCCAGGCTCCATATTCTGCTGCTCTCCTTTCTTCCTTTTGTCAGGATCCTAAACTCAATCATCTCATGGTTGCTGCTGCCCAAGTTGCCATCCACTACTGCATTCCCCATCAATTCTTTCCTACTTGAAAAATATAACTAAAGGGTTAGGGAAGGATGAACACTGGATGTAGCCTCCCATCACCATCAGGAGAAAAATCAGCCATCTAGGGTAGAACTGACTTTTGGCAACATCTTAAGTCAACTAGTAGAGGAGAGGAGAGGCGGTACTTCCAACTACAGTAATAGCTATAGCTATGCTTCTGCTGCCTTTTGTCTCTGTTCTAGATACTATATGCTCCTTAGTACTTTTGTGCTAATATGATACATTTGTAAAGAAAATCTGCTGTTCATATTTAAGAATAAATTATTGCACAAGCCCAAGAAAAATTTTTACTGTCATACACCTAGCAAGAGCTAAAAAGAATCTCGATACCATTTTGCATCTGTTGCTTTGCTGAACACGCTACTAAATCTAGAGCTAAAGTTAAATTTTAACACACAAGTCATTCTGATATGCCTAGACATGGCAGGAGTGTCAGATCTGTGTCATAGGCAATTTATCATTCTGCAAAATGTAGGCAGAACATGGCAAGCTAAGAGCAAAGTGACATGATGGCCTTGTGTTTGTTGATTTAACTCAGAGCTTCAGTGTTATTTTTATGCAGTTTTCTCATACAGTGTCATTCCTGACTCTCTGCAAATGAAATTAAAAAAAAGTGAGCCAGTGTGAAATGATCAATGCCAAGTTCAAAATATAAAAAATAAAAATGGAGAGCAGTAGGACTTTGGAAGGGTGTATGGAGTAATAATGGACTTTCCAAGAAGGTCTAGCTGCTGTCCCTTAGGACTAGCTGACAATATATCAGGCTACAGCGAAGTCAGGGAGATTTTAGAATTCTTTTGAAACATCACATTGTGAATACAATATTCATTCTCAATAGCATACTTGTAAAATAACTCTCTGAACAACACACAAAGATGCTGTGAAAGAGAAATAAATTTAATAAATTCCTTCCTGGCCCATGTGGCAACCAGTCAAGCCCAGGAGCATGGGAAAAAACAGATAAACCATAAACCCT